TCGGGTTATTAACAACTTCATTGTATTCTCAAGGTTGGAAAGCTAGGCATTTATTCCTTCTGTAATGCTTCATTCCAGTAAAGGCATGACTTCTGATGGCACTGCTGAGTGGCACACGTAAGAAGCCTGTCTCAACCTGTCTTCTGTGCTCCAAATTCACGTCATAGCATCACGCAGCAGCATCACGACCGCTCGCACTGCGTGTGCATGGCGACCTCCTGACAGGAGTGGCGGAGTTTTTGTGTCACCCCTCTCACGGCTCTGTTGCTCCTGGCGTCTGGCTGAAGGGAATCCTGCGGAAGGCCTGGGCTGCACCCCTCCCTCCTCACAGCCTGGGCCCACGCACCTGCTGGCTGCATGCTGTGTTTGCTTTCAGAAAGGTAGAAGGAAGGGAGCGCAGAGAGGAGGAGATGCAGAAGATAGGAGGGAGATCACGGAGGAGAGTGTGGAGGTGGATATACACAGGTGCCCAAACAGATGAGGTAGTGAATATGTGTAAATAGAAAGATACCTGTAAAAACTATAGTTTTTGTTGGTTCCTTTTGTCTCCAGCATGAGTTTATAACCCACTATATAAAAAAAGTACTTACTGAAAGTTGATTGGTAGACATTCATGGATTAAGAGAAATAGATTGGGATAGAGGTTTGAGGATGACCACAGTTTGATTCACATCCAGTGATGGCTGGACGTCCTTAGTTTTATTTTTGTTTTTCTCTTGTGTTAAAGGCACTAATTAGAAGTCTTCCTGATGGAAATGTGAAAATTTGTTTCCTTTATGGAACTGAGGTAACTGCTAAAGTTACAGAAGAAATCTGTCTGTAATCTGTAAATGCCAGTTGAGGCTTTAGGAAGGACTGGGGAAAGGATGGTAAAGTGTAGGAACAAGAACTCCTAGTGACTTAGCAAAGGCAGCTTTGGGTCAGACTCAGAGACAGCCGGTGTGTTACTCCCTGCAGAAACCAGGGCTCCCTTGAAGAATGGTTTGGATCGGGATGAACTCCTGATTAAGGAGATCCTTCACTCTGGATTCTGAAGGACACCTGTTTAGCTTCTTGGAGTTGGACAAATCATTTCAACGTTCTTTAAGAACAAGGGGGTTGCACTGGAGGGTTTTGAAGGCGTTCCCAGTCTAATGCTTGATTTTGAGATGGCGAAGGCTAGCTCTGCCCCTGGTCTTTCTTCGCACATTATCTAGACTCTCACTCAGCCATCCTGGACCTTCGTCCTGCCCCCAATTCAAGATGGGAAGCTTCGGGGCTTTGACCTAGAGATCTCGGGCTAACGCGATAGGTCCACGGGAAGTTTCTGCCCAGGGCTCCCGAAGAGTGCATCTTGCAACTGGGTTGACAGATTAAAAAGTGGAAAACAAAGTAGCTTGGCATGCTTAAGGCTTCCCTCCACCCACTTTGTGCATATACAAAGGTTTTCTGCCGTGACTAGAATAGCACTTAGGTACTGAACCCCGAAACTCTGAGCCGAGTCCTCAGATCCTCTCCTCTCTGTTGTCCTGCACGAATGAGGAAGAGCCTTCTTTCCACACTGGGAAGCTCCTTGTGGCCTTTCCTCATGGTTGTAGCCCCACCAGGTCCCCAGCACCTTTGGTGTCCCACAGTGTTGCTGTTGATTGATGGTGGTGACAGCCCACCGCCCAGTGGAGAAGACCCTGAGGCCTGGAGTCCGACCGTCCGGCTCAGCTCCAGATCCTACCAGTTAGCTGTTGACCCTGGCCATGTTTCCTCCTCACTCCAGGGCTTAAGCAAGTTTCTTAATGGATCTAAGCTTCTCTTTCCTCTTGTTTAAAGCGGGGATGAAAATCATGCAACTTCCATGTTCTTTCAGTGATTTAGTGCATGTAAAGCATCTAGTAACGTGATTGGCGTCCATGAGGAATCTGAGGATTTTGGTTACAAGATGAGATTCTTCGACGTGCCCTCCTTTCCCTTTGGCAGTTGAAATTTATAGTTCTCCTTAAGTTGTATTCAATAATTTTTTTATCTTACAAAGAGGTAATAATTAAATTGCATCGAAGCAGAAGCTTATCTCAGCAGTCATGATAGGCATTCTAAAAGTACACAGTCATGAATTCACGCAGTAGGAACATCCAGCATCTCACTCGTTCATATTGACTATTTTACCTGCAAATTACGCAATCCTAGTTTTCTCCCATATTTGAATAGAGCCACTTTGTCGCGTCAGTCTTAACCTTTAGTAATATCCACAGATTACCGGGGACTCTGACCGTCCCCTCCTGATGGACGTGGCCGTCCCCCACCCCCTGGTGGTGCAGTGGCTGGGTCGGCAGGGACCGCTCCTGGCAGAAACCATCTCAGAATTGCACACTGCAGTCTGGACGCTTACGGCCCAAACTAGAAATAGGGCACGATGGAAAATCGTAGCTGTTTCTGGCTGTGATTGCACACCTCACATGTGCTGGTGATATATTTCCATTTCTATTTCTTTTTTCCCTTGAGATTAGAGAAAGCTATCGTGTAGGAGTGAACATTTAATACATTCCTACTTCAGATGGATGAAGTAGGAAGTTTGACTCACCTTTCCCGAACTACCACGTTAAGTTTTGCTTACTCTTTTGTCATAGCAGCCACAGGACTGACGAGGATGTTGCTGGTGCTGAAGGCAGAGACTTGTGGCATCCACACTCCAGCTCTGCCGTTCACCGTGGCCCTGGGGAGGTTCCTCATCTCTCTCAATCTGAGTTTTTCGTTAGTGAAATGGAGTTAATAGCATCACATAACTAGGCAGGCTGGATGTAAAGATTATAGAAGATAATGCATATGAGACACTTACCACAGGGCCTGACATTTAGTAAACACTGAGCAAATTGTTTCTGTAATTACCATTTTTAAATGCCTGTATGTCACATTTGGAGGGGCACATTTTAAAACAGTAGATAGAAGCATGAACTGTTGGAGGATTAGAACTCAAAAAAGGTAGATAAAAGCATCATGTACCTGTCTTCTTGAGATTTCCTAATAATACTTCACCTGTCAAGTGAATTTTATTGCATTTTAATGAAGTGGCAGCGCACAGGGGGAGCTGTGTACATTTTGTTAATGTGTGATCCTCCCGGAGAGAACATTCTGTTATCCCCTGACGTCTTTGTATCTGTGGAGAGATGTGATGAATCAGAGAAACGGAAAGGTTATTATTTGCGCCTACAGACAGATATAATTTTGTTAATTTAGCAGACCAGTTGAGTGTGCGTAGGTTATGCTTGGGTTAGAGAACAAGGGAAATATGTTTGAGCTCATTTTCAGTTGTCTGCTGTGCAGAGGAACCAGTTAGGTCCTTTTTGTTTGGTTCTGAGGTTTCTTCCATGTTTCTAGAAGCAGTATTCTACAGCCTTTCTGAAGTTCAGTATGAATTAATGAAGCAATAACAAATCATTGTAATGCTTTTGAATGGCAATAAAGATTCATTAATTTCACATTTTATTTAGCTAAGTTTTCTATTTTTAAGTTGTAAGTCCTTTTGGGGGTATTAGATATAATTATCCTTCATTCAAAAAATGAGTTTTTCTGATATTAACCTGGAGTAAGTTATATTTAATTTTAACCTGGAGTAATATTAATGTTAACCTGGAGTAAGTTAATATTTAATTTTGTGTGATCAAAATTATGAATTACAACAGTGTATTTTTGTCAACTAAATGGGTCATTGCTGAGCACGGGTGAAATTGGTAATTGGTTATTTTTCTCACAGTATTTTGCGTTTAATGGGAAACTTCAGGGATTCTAGAGCTTCAACATTTGCAGAGTCCAGCCTGTACCATGGTGTAGAACACGGGGAGTATTGTTAGTTCCGAGTGATCAATCCGTGAGAACAAGTGCAGTGAGATGTTTTTGGTAGACAAAGGGCGAGACGGCACCACTGAACAAAAAGGTGGGACTTGCCAAAGAGAAATGGCTATTTTTGCTTCTTATCCCCAGAGGAGGTAACTCCTGGCTTGAAGTTAAGTTTTGACTGGTTTCATTACAGAAACCAGTCAATTTCAAACCATTTCATTCATTCATTCACCAAAACATTACAGATACTCTAACCCTCTTTGTAATCATATAATTTCATCTCTTGCTAGTTGACTTACTAAGAAATGTATCCTAGTTTGGGTCCCAGTTGAGGACTTTTCTCTATCAACCCTGTATAAGATACTTCGGATTTCACTTGTGTATTTAATACATTATTGTGCGTTATGTAAGGTGCTGGGGATACTGGTATTGAAGATGACGTGGCCTCTGCGCTTTTGGAGTTTATAGTGTAGCTGAAGAGTTTATATTTTTATATCATGCTGGTTGTCTTCCCATTTGTTTGAGGCAATTGAAAGAAAGGGAAGGACCTCAACACTCAGGAGATCTGAGCAGCCCGTTATTGTGGACTTTGAAGGTTGCACTTTGTTTCCTTTGCCACTGTGAGAAGGGCTATGCGTGCAGACCGAGCTGTCCGGAGGATGCTGCTGCTCCTGCCTTTTTCCTTAGACAGTGGCCACCACACGGACACAGCGTGGGGAGCGGGGTTGCTGGACTGTGGGGTCTGAGATCTGGGCCATGGCTCTGGCGTCCTGAGTAGCCTCCAGGAAAGTCAGCACATCTCTCAACCAACTATAAACTTCACGTATCAAAAAATGAAGTGTTGGGCCGTTGGATGATCTCTTAGTGCTCACCTATTTTGACACTTCAATGAGATAATATTTTTAAAGTGCGCCATTTAGTGCCTGACACCTGATTCTAATAACAAACACTTTCATAGCTTGTATTATGTGCCAAGTGTTCTAACCATTATACGCATGTTAGTTGAACATACTATGGTTTTCTCATTTTAGAAGAAAGGAAGCTGAGTCACAGAAAGGCTAGTGACCTTGCTCAAGGTTATGCACCTAGTTAAGAGGCATATAAAGCCCTCAGTAAGCCGGAGTTGTTGACACTTTCTCAAGCTGGCAGTTTTGGTTGTTGACGTGCTGCTTTACGTTTTTCTTTTTTCTCTCTAGGTATCATAGAGACGTCAGATCGACTGGACCGTGAATCGACCTCCCATTATTGGCTGACAGTCTTTGCAACCGATCAGGGTGTCGTGCCTCTTTCATCGTTCATAGAGATCTACATAGAGGTTGAGGATGTCAATGACAATGCCCCACAGACATCAGAGCCTGTTTATTACCCAGAAATCTTGGAAAATTCTCCTAAAGATGTGTCTGTGGTCCAGATCGAGGCATTCGATCCAGATTTGAGCTCTAATGACAAGCTCGTGTACAGAATTACAAGTGGAAATCCGCAGGGGTTCTTCGCAGTACATCCTAAAACAGGTATGTGTTAATACTGCTGTGTGCAACGTTCATGCTTATGCTCTTCTGTTAGGGGGAAAAGTAAGAATTAGCATTGATCTGTTACATGCTTTCGTTTTTTGTTAAATTGTTTTCCTTTTGAATTATTCAAAATAAGCCTTTATTTTGGATAAAAATTTAGCCTAACAGGGTGTGGTGGCTCGCGCCTGTAATCCCAGCACTTTGGGAGGCCAAGGCAGGTGGACCACAAGGTCAGGAGATCGAGACCATCCTGGCTAACACGGTGAAACCCCATCTCCACTAAAAGTACAAAAAATTAGCCGGGCGTTGTGGCAGGCGCCTGTAGTCGCAGCTACTTGGGAGACTGAGGCAGGAGAATGGCAATGGCTTGAACCCGGGAGGCAGAGCTTGCAGTGAGCTGAGATGGTGCCACTGCACTCCAGCGACAGAGCGAGACTCTGTCTCAAAAAAAAAAAAAATTAGCTTTTTTAACTTTGAGTTTGCTTTTATAAAGCTATTTTACAATTATGCTCATTAGTAGGGTTTCACTTTCAGGTTAAAAAGCAAACATTGTTATTTCAGTAATAGCTCCTAAATTAGTGATATATCTTAAATTTACAGCAAATTCTACTGCTGCTAAGAATTTGAATTGTTCTAAGTCCACTTTTTGTAAAGAATATTAAAAGAGTTTATTTCACAGTTCGCTAGTTTTGTAATGTTTTAAGGTTCTCCCATAGAGCAGTGCTGTATGTGCAGGTGGTAAGGGATTGGGATTAAACAGTTTTCAGACTGGAAGCGGTTGCTTTCCTGAAATGACACCCCAGGCCTTTTGCTTCTAACATTTTTTCCATCGATGTTTGTGACCGACTCCCCTGCTTCCCAGAAGACAGCTCCTTGACCTCAAGATCCTCCTCCAAAATTTTTATAAACTTCTAATCTTTGTTCCTTACTGCACAAGTGATAACTGCGTTCACCCTCCTTGTGAAATAAAGGAAAAGTGAGCTAAAAACTAAGTGCTGAAAAATCAGAAGGCATGGCCAAGCATAAGAAAGTCAGAAGTGTATAAGCATTGTGAGGATGCATTTGGAGTCCACAATGTATGCCTCTCTAGTGCAGTCCCAGACCTCCAGAGAGAAATCTAGAAGTAAAAGCCTTGATTGATGCAATGTGGGTGTGAACAAAAACCCTCAAAGAGGTGTTTTCCTATCCTCTTCCCAGACCCCAACAATCATCCTCACGGAAGATTTCTGTGAACAAGCGTGTGCTTGGGGGTTGGGGGGAGATTCCACGCACACCGAGCAGCGCGCACCTTGGGAGCGCTCTCATTCAATTCTGACGGGTTTTCTTGCCTGGACAGCCTCAGATTCTCAGTTCCCAAGAGTGTTCCCTTCCTCCCCCCAGCTGCAAGCCCAGGCCTCCGAAACTCCTGACGGACCAGCTCCAAGTGAGGGTTCGCGTGACCTCTCTTTGGGTTCTGTTACTCTATTAGAACAGCTCACAGAACTCAGGGAAACACTTATATTTACCTGGTTATTACAAAGGACATTTTAAAGGATACAAATAAACAGCCAGATGAAGAGATACACGGGGGCAAAGTCTGCAAGGGTCCCATGCACAGGCCCTTCTGTCCCAGTGGAGTCGGGGTGCACCACCCTCCCAGCACCTGGATAAGTTCTTGTTCACCTTCCTGTAGCCTCCGCGTGTTCAGCGGCCAGAAACTCTGAACTCTGCTTTCTTGGGCCTTTTACGGAGACTTCATTACCTAGGCATGATTGACGCACGGACAGCCATGTCAACATGTGGCTGACAGAGGCCTGTCTCTTCAGATTCTTGGCCTCTGTCTGCAGCGTTTCCGCCTCCAGGATGTGGAGCGGGACCCTCTCTGGAATGAGGGGCTTGTGACGCACAGTCAGATTGGAGTCCTGCCTTGGCAGGTGAAAGGAGAGTGGCAGGTGGTCCGGACAGAGATTCTGTTTCCTGAGGCAAAAAGTGCTACAACATAACCGAAGACTGTGACAGGGGTATGGGAGAGACAAGCCAGAAACCGTGGACAGAAACAAATATACACCCCTCCCCACAACACACATGTGTGTCATATCACAGGTGGCAATTCAAGACCAGAACTACCCCTATAGTAATGTGTGTGATGAATTAGGCTAAGCAGTGTTTTCCATTTTCTTGTGTCTTCTCTCTTTTAGATTAGATTAAGTCCTCTGTGAAGAGACAGATGAGCAAGCAATAAATATTATTTTGGATATCTAAGCACATGGCATAGGTCTGGGCATAATACATATTTGAGGAGTAGGAGAAAGAAACTGAGGAGATGATGTAGCTTAGCATTGCTGTGGGGAGCCTTGAAAACCCTGGGTTCTTCCTGGGGCCCCAGAAATGATGATGTGGCTGCTATGGTGTTATGTCTTGTTGTAGAAACATGATTAACATGACATTGCCTCTCCCCTTTAAATCTCTCTATTCTGACAAGTCTAAAGAAAAGGTGTTTGCAACTCTATGCTGTTACCTTCAGCAGGAGTAAACCCTCTCCAGGTGTCCGCCGCCAGCCCCCAGCCCCGGTGGGAGTACAGGCATTCTGCTGGCAGGGCGGCAGGAGGAAATTCAGTGGACTGCACCCAGAGGCTTTCTTTTCTTACGAGTTGAAGTCAGGTAATAGTGGAGGATACCATAGTTAGTACACAGCAGTATTTGTTGTGAAGTATGTTAAAAACTATGATTAGTAAAGAAGTCCCAACGTTCCACAAATCACCTAAAGTCTCTGAAGATGAAGAACCATATTTTAGCATGGGAATTATTAATATAGGAAATATAGCTTCATAAGATCGGTTTCTAGATGATTCTCTTCCCCCAACTCAGCAGCAAATTGGGGTGTGATCCTCAGGACCCAAAGTGCAGATGCCTCATGTTCTCACAGCCTTTAAAGCAGACTGACTTTTCACAGGTAGGTCGGTGTCGTGGCGGCTTGATTGGGAAGGCTGATGAAAGTCTGTCTGGCAGAAAAAAGTGCTTGAGAGTTACTGACCCATCGCACCACCTGGAGACCCTAAATCGTGTTACTTAATGATTAATGGCTGAGCAAGGAAATCACTGGGCTGGAAATCAAGAGATCTGGGCCATAGGGAGGCCTTCCCTCTGGGATCCTGGGGCAAACTGACTTCCGGGTTCTTCGATTTTGTGATTCGGGGTGTTTCTGCACCCCTGTTAAGGCTTGTGTGTGTAGAGTGCAGGAGCGCCCAGGGTCGTTCAGGGCACAGGTGCCTCAGCTGCTTCCACTTGCAGGTGTTACAGTTGCTCTGTTAATGAATATAAGACAGTCAAGAATCTAGTAGATTGATAAACTTGTGCCTTTGAATAAACAAATTTGCTGGAATAAAGTGGATCTACTTGTTTCTTAGTGGGAAACATGAATTTGGGACCCGGGTGATTATCCTCAGTGTCCAGCAGGCTAGAGAGTGCTTCAGTTTATCATCATTTAAAGTGTGTGTTTGTGCATCACGTACAGTCACGCGTGGCTGAATGCCAGGGATGCATTTTGAGAAACGCGTCATCAGGTGATTTTGTCAGTGTGTGGACAACATAGAGTGTACTTACCCAAACCTAGATGGTCTAGCCTACTACACACTCAGGCTGTATGGGATGGCCTGTTCTAGTCTACAGACCTGTATACCATGATCCTGTACTGAACACTGCAGGCACTTGTAACGCATTTGTGTGTCCAACATAGCTAAGTATAGAAAAGGTGCAGTAAAAATATGATATTAATCTTTCACAGCCACGGTCGTATGTACAGTTTGAGCGTATATGCAGCCTGTGGTTAGCTGAAACGTCATTACGCAGTGCATGGCTGTATTTATTTACTGAACTTTGAAATTATTTTCCCGAATCTTTGAAAGTTCGTCTACAAAAGTGAAATAACCAAGAGGAACTGGTGTGTGCAGCAGTGTGGCACAGGCCCTCACGGGTCTGGTGGAAGTGCGGCACGGGCCCTCACGGGTCCGGTGGAAGTGTGGCACAGACTCTCATAGGTCTGGTGGAAGTGTGGACAGGCTCTCACGGGTCCGGTGGAAGTGTGGCATGGGCCCTCGGGTCCGGTGGAAGTGTGGCATGGGCCCTCGGGTCCGGTGGAAGTGTGGCATGGGCCCTCAGGGATCTGGTGGAAGTGTGGACAGGCTCTCACGGGTCCGGTGGAAGTGTGGCATGGGCCCTCGGGTCCGGTGGAAGTGTGGCATGGGCCCTCGGGTCCGGTGGAAGTGTGGCAGGGGCCCTCAGGGATCCGGTGGAAGTGTGGACAGGCTCTCACGGGTCCGGTGGAAGTGTGGACAGGCTCTCACGGGTCCGGTGGAAGTGTGGCATGGGCCCTCGGGTCCGGTGGAAGTGTGGCATGGGCCCTCGGGTCCGGTGGAAGTGTGGCATGGGCCCTCAGGGATCCGGTGGAAGTGTGGACAGGCTCTCAGGGATCCTGTGGAAGTGTGGCATGGGCCCTCAGGGATCCGGTGGAAGTGTGGACAGGCTCTCAGGGATCCTGTGGAAGTGTGGCATGGGCCCTCGGGTCCGGTGGAAGTGTGGCATGGGCCCTCAGGGATCCGGTGGAAGTGTGGACAGGCTCTCAGGGATCCGGTGGGAGTGTGGCATGGGCCCTCGGGTCCGGTGGAAGTGTGGCATGGGCCCTCGGGTCCGGTGGAAGTGTGGCATGGGCCCTCGGGTCCGGTGGAAGTGTGGCATGGGCCCTCAGGGATCCGGTGGAAGTGTGGACAGGCTCTCACGGGTCCGGTGGAAGTGTGGCATGGGCCCTCGGGTCCGGTGGAAGTGTGGCATGGGCCCTCGGGTCCGGTGGAAGTGTGGCATGGCCCTCAGGGATCCGGTGGAAGTGTGGACAGGCTCTCAGGGATCCGGTGGAAGTGTGGCATGGGCCCTCGGGTCCGGTGGAAGTGTGGCATGGGCCCTCAGGGATCCGGTGGAAGTGTGGACAGGCTCTCAGGGATCCGGTGGAAGTGTGGCATGGGCCCTCA